TTTTTATTTTACTTTTTCTCCCTGCTGCTTGCTTAGTGTTTTTGTCTTCTAGACGTCCTATTAAGCCAGACATGTGGTCGAGCCTGTGGCGCGCTGCTCTGTCTCCATCTATCTGTCTATCTCATCCTCGTTTTGTGTCTGTGCTCTGTTTTCTCAGCAATGACGGGAATGTTTTCTAAAAAAAAAGAAGAAAAAAACAGGAGAAGATACTCATTTCAGCTCAGCTGATGACAGGAATAATGCCCCAAACAGGTCACTTTGGCTCCTCAAATGATCGGCTGCAAATATGCAGTGAGAAAGTGACGAGATTTAAACGTCTGTTTAGGGTAAAGCTTAATCCACGCGTGTAAAACTGACAGTTGTTTGCCAGAGAGCTAATGCTAAGTGACAGCTGGCCACATCTGCTTTTTGCTGGAATCATCACACGAGCCTAGAGAGCAAATGCCGTCCTGCCTAAATATTTAGCTGTGGATTTCTGCGGCTGAAGGGCAGACAGCTTGATTGCTGGCTTGGCAGCTGCGTTGGCACATTGAGGGTCAGACTGGCACAGGAACTGACATTACGGATGGGTGGGGCCACCTACTTGGCTGGCGGTCACTTCAGAGAGGGTGGGAGGGTGGTGCAGACGCACAAGGGGTTTAATTATTCGACTGCTGGTTGGGGGGAAAATGGACACATTTGTACAGCATTAATCACCACAGCATATGTTTATCGATATGGTTAATAAAGCTTCCCCATGTTACATCTACTCGAATGGAAGACTTTTTCTTTTTGCCTTTTCTGGTATAATAAAATGAATATATTTGATTCATCAGTCAAAGCAAGCTATAGATAAAAGGCATTTTATCAAGAGGTTATGATGGACCTCTCAAATATTAGATGCTTTTTAAAACCAAATTTTTTAAAATTGACCTTTAAACCAGGCTGAAATGTTGTATTTGTTTTTTCATGTTTTTTCATTGTTTCATTTTAATATGTGCTTATAAATGAAGTCGACGCACATTTTTCTAATGTTTTATGAATCAAACTATTAGCTGATTCATTAAGAACGGTATTAGCAAGCTAACTGAGGTAAGAAAAAAACTCAAAACATCTCAATCTGAGAACCACAAACAACAAAATCAGACTCTATGTAGGTCGCGACATGTTATCATGTGCTTCTTTCCCCGGTAGACTCATAGCAAAGCAAGCACACAGTCTGCCATCTACACACACACACACACACACGCACACACACACACGCACACACACACACTCAGAGCTGCTGTCTTTCCTACTTAGTTTGTTTGCTCGAGGTTTTGCACGTGAAAGTGATACCAAAGGACAGAGTTGAGAGCCTGAGTTGACACCTTGGATCTAAAAGAAAAGAAAAAGGATGGGTTTGGCCTTACAGATGTACCGTTACTCTTCACATTAAAGTAAATCAAAGTTTAATTATATATATCCCTGATTTGCTGGTGCTGGCTTGTAGTGGAATGTGCTGCGTTTCAGTATCTCTCCCACCTGATTGAAGAGCTCCATCTGGGGAGATGCAGGGCAATTCTCTAATGGGCCTCATTGGAGAAACGTCTCCAGTCAGTAGCTATCAGTCAATTATGCTCAATAGCCATCAGTCAATTATAGTCCATAACACATAGCAGAGAACAGCAGGCTCTCTCTCTGTCACTGTTCAGCATGTCACAAGATTGGCCATCTATCCTTTTTTTTTTTACTCCCCCCAAATTAGATTCAGGCCTGGGTGAGAGGAATGTTGACCGTAATAGCATCGGGTAATGTGCCAGGAAAAACAAAGCTTATGGCCTGAGATGAATGACATTTTGTCACTTCAGATGGATGAAAGTTAGCTTCACAACACTAGCATTTATACTTCAAAAAAAAAAAGAAAAAATGGGGCAGAGATATCACTCTGTTGTTTTTATTTTTCTCCTCTGGGAAGCTGGAGACGTAATTTGAAACGAGAGAGTGTCTAGAGATAACAACATGACAGGGATGGTTAGTATGTGTGGACGGCGACCCCTCAGCGGTTGAGATAAAGGTGAAGAGGTGATGGTGGAGGGGTGAAGTGGGAAAAAAGAGAAGGTTTTCCAGCTGAGCCTCCTGTCTTTCTCATCCCTTCCTCTTATGTTTTATTTATTTATTTTTGGACACTGTCAAGTTCAGTTTTTGTCTCACCTCCCTGGTGCACTTTTGGAGTTGTAGTCTTTTCTTCACTGCTCAGTACACGGCACTGTTGTAAGTGCAGAAGGTCAAAGGGGGTCAAAAGGAGCGTTTGCCCTTTTGCTGTAAATATACTGCAAGTTACTGTGAATCCATTGTGGCTGTGCAGTGTAGCATAGATGTTACGTTACCCTCTGTTCATCTTTCCATCTGTCTCCGCCCCTCCACCTTGCTATCCTCGCCCTCCTTTGTTATTCCCCAGGCAGCAGGCCACATATTGACCCTTGACCCCTCCCGTTTTCCTCTTATGGAGGCAGTCAAAGATCAGACAGAAAGGGGAAATGAAGTGTCTGTCTGAACGATGCACATATGTGCAAACATATGCAAACTCACACACACATACACACTTAGATTGGACATATTGTAATGCCTTGGTGCCTCAGCCTTTGTTTTGCTTTTTAGATTCGATTTAGGAGGTCACTGTCGCTCACTCAATACCTCCATATGTAATGACTATGCTGTTTGTTCCCAGATCAAAAGATTAGCTTCACTGAGACATAACTTGATGGATCAGGGTGTGCTAGGGCCTGTTTGGCCACTGAGGCTGAGAATTTGGAGCTGAGAATAGCCGTCCATTGTGTGCTTGTCAAGCTGGTTGGCTGCTGTAGTGCGCAAACTCCGACAGGCTGGCACACACGCAGACACGTACTGATGCACGCGCAGCACACAAACACACACAAACTGAGAACTTATCACCAGAAAGAGTCAGTGTCAGGTCAGCCGACTCGGCCCGTGGACAGCGCTGTATTGTTGCTGGCCTCTGTCTGTCCTGCACATTCAACAGTGCAGGCATTCTGTGGTTACTGGTGACTCAGGACCAGCGCGCTGCGTGGCAACCAGCGGGACCGACAACACCTGCCCTCACACTGTCGCACTGTTGTGTTTAAGAGGCTTAAAGACCAACAAGCAAAGTGAGCCACGCGAAGACTTTGTTAGAATAACTGCAACATTACTAAATACATTTCTAAAGTAGATGCACAGAAATGGGATGCACTGTGTGACCAGGCTGAAGTTAAACAATACTGACCTTTTCTGAGACTGTATTAAAGAGTCAAGATCCATGAATATTCCCTAAGGTAGAATCACACGAGAGGATGTTTAATCAAGTTTTTTTTTTTCTCAGATAGCTTTATGGTGGACTACATCCTTTACACTTGACATCCAACCTCATGACCCCAACTGAGAGCCTATAGAAATGGATTTAAAGAGCACAGTGTGATATCTATTCAAGTGCCAAAACCCAGTGGAAGCTGATATGGAAATCTTCCTTTGACTTTTATGTTCATTACTAAAGGGTTAAAAGAAGAATATGTTGCACCAAGTGTCTGCTTGGCTGTACAAACAGCCTGGATGTCTGTCAGGCACATTTTCCCCAAAGCACCTCCTCTCTTACAGTTTTGTTGCCAGTTCTGTTTGTTTACATCCATCTTCAGAGGTGTTGGAGCTTGTTATAGAGGTTACATGGAAGCATAACTCTGCACTGATGGTTTGTGTTTGAAGAGAGAAGCTGTCAGTCAGTCAGCCCTCTCTGATTGAATCAATGCGCCTTTTGTCAACAAAAGTCTCCACCCCGTCAGCCTCCTCCTGGCCCACAGCAGTGCCTGTTATACAGAAACACAATGACATTTTACAACCACAGAACCACCCATGAGCCAGAAACACTCCGAACTCAGCGACCTACTTTGCTGTCTTTTGAACAGACCTCATGTGGACACTGATGCCTTGCAACATTTTTGGCCTTTTGGTGACACTGTCATTTAGTGGTGGGTTCATTTTTTCCAAACCTTTAAAGCAACCCGAAAAAAAGCCGGAAGGGAATTGCAACAAAAAAAAGGCTGAAAAGGCGTGGCTGGTAAAGAAATGTTTCAGATGGTCTGACCTCGGCAGAGTCCTGATCTGAAAATCATTCATTCAGTGTGGGATTACAAGTAGAGGGAGAAAACACTGAGATGACCTAAGTTAAAAGGACAGTAGCAAGTTTTTCATGCTTGCAAAGAAAATCAGTCACATTTAAAAACGTTGGAGAAGCATTGAATTGAATTGAATTGAATTGAATTGAGGTAGCCTCATCAAAGATTTTACTTTGATTCATGTTTTTGTGCTTTCATCACTTTGTGTGAAATTAATAGAAATAGGAAAACATATTCATGGCATTATACTTTTATTGCTTATAACATTGCACAGTTGAAGACGACGTATACGACGCATTAAGTAATAGCGTATACTGTACGTTATTACTTAATGTAATACCTCGACCCTCTCTCTGTCTGTCTGCCTCCTTCTAACCTCATTTGCCTCTTTCTTCATTTATTATATTTAACTTCCAGGCATGGAAAAGCTTACGCATTGATACTCTTTTCAAATGTGACTACTAAATGACGCGCAGCCTCCGATCCTATTTAACATACCGTGTGGAGACTGACTGAGGCGGACTCGCGTAGTGCTGACAGCAGCATTTTTGACTTTTTGGGAAAATAATGAGGGGGGGAAAATTCCAGATGCACGAGTCAAATGATTTTTTAAATACCACTTCCTCAGCTGACACCACCATTGAGCTATTCAGAGGCAATTCTGCACATGAGCACTTATCAGCTGTTTTTTTTTTTTTCTTTCTTTTTTAACTCTAGTGCACATGAACAATTAGGAGAGGGCTGGTCATTTGCAAACCCAACCTGCTTCTGGTGCTCTGTGGTGCCAGTGTAACCAGCCCGGCTGAGCTAATGACTCATCTCTCTCTCTCTTTTGCTCTCCCTCTCTCTGTTCCTCTGTCTCTGTCTGTACAGGGGACATCACTCAGAAGGGCTATGAGAAGAAAAGAGGCAAGCTGTTGGCACCGTACATCCCACAGATACAAGGTAAGGTACACAGGCCTGTGAGAAATTCTCTCTATTAGCATAGCAGTTAGCCCGGTGTCCCTACAGCAGCAAACAGAACAAGGAATGGGATTTTAAAAGTTAACAATACAGAGTACAGGATGAGCTTTACTTTTAGGATAAACCACTTTATAGTGGTGAGACGAGCAAAACAAATCATTTTAATGAGTGGATTATCACAATCTAGACTTGACTCAGATGGTTAGGGGGTTCCTCTGATCTCTGGTGGTCATGTGACCCTTGGCTCTGTTAGCCCTCTGTCATACTGATTTAAAAACAAGAGGAGGAAGACACAATGAAGAGTATCTGAACGTATTTTTCGATGCTGTTCCAGTAATGCAAATGCAGAGCTCTGCATTGTGTGATGATGCGTTGTTGTTTATTCAGTGGCTATTTTCTTAATTTCTTTATTTATTTTAGCCAGCTTGTGCATATTTGTGCTCACCAACCTGTGTCGGGCAGTAGGTGTTTGGAGAAGAGAGGCAGTGTGAAGTTCATCCGTGGTATTTGACTGGGGTGGGAGCTTCTTCGACTTTTTTGCATCCAGCGTGCTTCTTGCCCCTGATTATGCAGTCATTTCTGTCCCTTCTGGCCGCCTATAAATCGAGGTGGTTTGCGGTGAATCCCAAAAAGGAGCTGCTGTCTGTATGCTTCATGCTTCTCCTCTATCTGTCTAAGGTCCAGAGGAGTTTTTGGGTTGGCCTGATTTCTCGACACCGAGCCTAAGTGGAAACCAGTCTGGTGTGGGCTCCTCGCACAAGGGTTTCCACTGAAGTTAGCAGGGCTGTGTGTTGTCTTTGTGTCTTTCATGCTGTAGTTCATTCAGTCTTTTTTTTTTTTTTTTAAATAAGAGAAGTTATATATACAGAGTAGAAATCAGATTGCTTATGAGTCAGTGATATTCTTTATATACAACAAATGCACCTATTGGGATGAATAGATGTGTTGTTATTTAGTGCTGCTTCATTGAATCGGTGGTTAAGCCTTAGTAGCTGCACTGTTAAAGTGGTTAAGTAGACTATGTGTTTCTGCTGACCTCCATATACAATTTCATAAGCAGTTTTACTGCTTTATATTTCTCTGTTGTCATCACTTGTTCATATTTCACTGTTTGGGCTGCAAACTAACGCTGTCAGTGCTCTCTCCTCTGTGCAATAAAACTGGATAGCTTTCTTGTCTGTGTGTAAAAGAAGGTTTATTAGCATCAAATTAAGTTTCTAGAGAGAACAGCCTTGAGTTAATTTCTTTTTTTCATTTTCAGTTTATGAATACAGCCATTCACTAAAGCACATTTGAGCCTTGGAAGCGATACACACGTGTCATCAACCACCATGCCGTAAGTAAGCGTCGGCATCAGACAGGTGGTAAAAATTCATCAGGGCCCACTGTGGACCAATAATGACATCTGCTGTGATGGAGCACGCCTCTTATTGGCTCAGTGTGGCGTGTGTCTGTAGTGTGTTCTGCCCAGCAACCGGGTCTGGTGTCCTGGCTTGTTTTATAGACCTGCTTCTTCTGGGAGGTGGGGGAAAGGCCGTCGTGTGACTGAGCTATCAGAGCAGCTATATGAGGGACCAGCATATATTAATGTGTGCGTGTATCCATGCTTAGTGTGGCTCTATGAGTCAGACACCATGCGATGCATGTCTTTAAATGTCCTCAGGCTTTATTTTGTCTGTGTAATGTTTGAAACTCATGTTGTTTTGTAGGTTTAGTTAGAGCGTGTGAATGTTGCTCAGCTTTGCAGCATGTCTGCTGCTGCTGTCTGAGAGTTGCTGACAGTGTGGAGCTCACTGATCCCCCACTAAGCTGCTGCTGAAAAGCCAGGACGGCCTGATAGCTGACTGGCTGGGTGTCTGATGGAGCAGCAAGCTAAATGCTGGTTCTAGCTGGCTGCATGTGGTGTGGCCTGTCCCCAACAACCTGTTTACTAAATGGTAGACTGACGAGGGAAGCCACTCTGCGTGGTTCATTGGATCAGGTTAAAAGAGACCACAGCACCAGAAAAGTGCCAAAACTGACGACAGTCTGGTACTCAAGGTTATTTTTTTTGATCGAACTATTAATGTTGGGACTCATTTATCCATGTTTGGTTCTTCTTATGTCTCTCAGTTCAGTATTAAAGAACTGTCTGTTCTTATTACACCACTCATTCAACTATAATTTAGAAACTGGTCCATGTTATCATTTTTTATATATTTTATGTGTACAGAATAGTCAGTTAGGGATGTTGTTAACCAAAGAACATTTGATTGACAGAAAATTAACCAATTATCCAAGGAATTGAAAATGAACATATCATCTTTTGATTAACTAAACTGGAAAGGTCATTGAGTTCACTCTACCTGCTAGCCTTTTTAGCCTAAGCTAATTTTAAATAAACCTAAAATATATATTTGCATTGTATGATGTTATTTGAACCTTTGTTATTTCATTTTAAAATGATGAAAATGGTTAAACAGTTTCCGTCGTCATGAGAGGAGGCTTGGTCTAACCAACTGTAACCAACTGGATTCAGATCCAGATGTGACTGGATGCATCTGTAGGCATAAAACGACGATTAAATCAAACATATTAACATTAGTCTCCAGGTTGAATATAATAGCTTATTACAAACCATGATATTTTCACATTTAAAAAGCACAAGTTGTTGTACTATTATAATGCAGAGGTGTTGTCTTGCTGCTTTTTAATGATATGTCAGACCGGCCCTTGAGGTGAGGTGTGTAATTCCCTCAATGTTTATTTACATGAGTGTCCAGATTTTCAGTAAACTGTCTGTAAACATTATGATTATTAGCGTTGCTCCTAGCTTTTTCTGGTACTCTGTTCTTCTTGTTACCAACAATAATTAGGTGAATAGGTGAATATGACATGTTTAGACATGTATGTTAGGTAATCATGATTATAAAGTGGTTATCTGTCAAGAGGTGTATCTTGCTTCTAACCCTATGAGACCGGGGATAGGCTCCAGCCGCCCTGACTTTGAACCAGATAGGTTGAAGGCGATAGATATGGATGGATGGATGACATGTCGGTGGATTGAATGAATGAATGGATGGTACTTTTTGTTTTGTGCAGCTGTGCTGTCTGTAACCTTAGATTATTTGGCAGACATCTGATCCTAATTTGTCTCATTCACAGGGACGGCTTGTTACTCACATAAAAACGTTTGTGTATTTATTCAGTTCTGTATTTGCAGCTTTGATGGTTTAATGTGCAGTGTTCAGGTATCACAAACTGGATGTTTCTACTCAAATGCATTTCTAAAGTGAAAGTGAAAATTGGCAGGAATCAGTGGAAACATGGCACTAGTTTGAATTGTTTTGTTTCTGAATTTTAACCTTTTTTTTGTCTTGTGATGGGGAAAATGTAGTTATAAATCCTTGCATGTGGTGTTGATAGTAAAGTCTCTATCCTATTGTGCCTCCTGCTGTCCTTTAATGCTGCTTAAAATAACATTTCAGTACTTGTTACAGCGATGTTGCCTATGTATTTCTTTAATGTGCACATTTTATTATTGATCGTTTCTGTGTGCACTTAAATTTTAAACAAGAAGAAAAATTTGCTCTATTACACAATTGGGGATTTTATGCAAATGGTTCCCTGGCAACATGTCCATTGCTCACCTCCCTGTCAAAAGTTTCGCTGGGTTCAAACTTTGGATGTGCTTTACATTTACATTTATCTCATTTGGACTCATTAAGTCCTCTGTACTCATCTGTTGTTTTTAAGTTTCCCGTATTTATTTTCCCTCCAACATGCTTCTAATACATCCCATTGAGAGCATCAGAGGGAGAAGAGAAGCCAGTGGTAGGAAGATTACTAATGGAGTTTGTATTGTGACCTTCCTTCAGGCAGTAGTCATCGGTTTCCTCTCTGATGCTCACCACTACTTAGTTAATGAAGCTCAAATGAGGATTGCATAAGCCAAAGTGTGAATCACTGCCTGACAACCTTGTGCACAGTGAGGTTGCCTGGTTCGTGGGTTTGATAATTTTAGAACATTACAGTTAGAAGATGTTGTCTTTTTGACATTCATGGTGCTTAATCACCTCCTTCCAGTTACGTCTGTGTAATTTGCATTTGCCTCCTTTGGAAAACTTGGAGGCAGCTGAGAAGCAGGAAGAGAGCCTGGTTTAATTAAAGTGAATACTTTCTCAATTCTAAACTACTGCACTCAAACAGAGCCATCTAAGTAGGGATTACCATTAAGCTTGTGGAAACTTTATCTAGTCAAGCAGTGTTGTGCACCATTGGTCTATGTCCAAGACACATTTTGCATAGAGTTTGTTGGCACATGTCTCTGTTATTGATATTGGTACACTGTTAAAGAACATATATTATATTATCTATATCTTATTATATATATCTTCTCCCTGCCTTGTTTCTCTACAGGTGTAGATCCATCTCTGCAAATCGACAACAGGATCCAAGCCTCGTCCCAAGTTGCTCTTCAAGGTTCCAAATCCAACAAGTCTCGGGCTGCCAACACCCGGGATGAGCGCTTCAGATCTGGTAATCATGTTTCTGTACTGCCAAAAAGTTTTAAACGTCTTGTGTTTCTCTTTTATTCTGTAGTTAAGCCGAGTTAATGCATTTCTTAGATCTGCACACAGAAGCCGTCCAAGCAGCTTTGGCAAAGTACAAAGAGAGGAAGATGCCCATGCCCTCCAAGAGACGGTCCGTGCTAGTTCAGTCTTCTGTAGAGGCATGCACCCCGCCAGGTGAGACCCTTGCTCCTTTAAATCACCTGCATCCCAGTTGGTTCTGCGCGTTCTCACTGGGTTGTTTGTTTGATATGTTCCCATGAGCTGTCGAGTGTAGGATGCTGAAACTCCATTGTGTCCACTGATCAAAAATTATGATGTCAAGCATTTGCTGCTGGAAAGAAAATATGCGGTTTGCTGAATGTGTCCATTCTTCGCGACTATAAAAGACTCGGTTCTGACCGTTGTGTTCCCAGAGAGACCTTCCTACACGAGTGGCAGAATGAATGCATAACCAGATTTTGAGCATCATCTTGAAATGTCGACCTTTTACCTGTTTGCATAACAGTTTGTATTGTGTGGGCAGTTCATTAGAATTGATGTGATTTCACAGCTTTCCAGCAGCTTCTTGTTTCCCCAAGAGTTTCAGGGCCAAAAGAGCCTTGTGCATGTGTTGTTGTCTTTCAATAATCTGTAGAAGATTTTATAGAGGGCTTTTCAAACACTGCCGTGATTTTTATCAAGTGGGGGACCTTAAAGCTTCAAGTCTTGGATAAAATGAGAGGACACAGCGGTGGAGCAAGTAACCGGATTAAGAGCTCAGACACAGTGGTGTGAATAGAAGAAGGAGAGGAACGTTTCATGGCTGTTTTGAGTTTCTCTGAGTGAACTATTGTACTTGAATTAGTCCCATACATGAGACTGATATATGTGTAATGTACATACAAGGTGATCTGATGATCTGCTGCTGTTGTAAAGATGACGGCAGCTATTGTTTCTACATTTTGTCTGGTTAGTCAGCAGAGAAGACAAGAACAGACAAGAAACATCAGATGAGGGTTATACCATGCAACACAGGCCGTCACCTGAACAGCTTCTGCACATTCAGCCAAACACTTGTCAAACACTTACTTTAAGTATGAATGTGTGAGTGGATGTACAAACCAGTAGGTGCAGTATACGCAAAACTTTAGTAATGGCAATCAATCAGTCCGTTGGTTGTTTGTTCCACTGCTTCGCTTAAGTTGGAAAGACTACAACATAACATCATACCCCCCTCAAGAGGAATTGTAGTAACCCTGTAATAATTCTCACTTATCATCTAGTATCTGGATTAAATTTCAACGTGTCACGTTCTCTGGCTTCTGAACAAAAAACTGCCCAACAAAAGACATTCCCATCAGCCTGTGTTGTACAATATATCTAATAAATATCAGCATGTTGACATCATAATTGTGAACACGTTTGTACCCTGATGCTATCAACATTGAACTCAAAACCAACTGTGCACGAGTGCAACGCTTTGATTGCTAAGCTGGAATTATTGTACCTAGCCTTGTATCCTATGCTGTATCCTAGATCATAGCCTGATATGAGTGCAACAAGAAAGTCTTTTAATAAACAGGAAACAAGGCAGAAAGCAGTTCTCAGTTTGCTTACAATGCTAATGTGTCGCGTTAAAAAAGACACACAGGTGTACAAGGATAAATGCAATGAGTCTGATTAAACAGACTTTCCATCATGATCTTGCATTTGCCAATTAAAATTCATTTTCTATAGACATAAATCAGTGAAAATAAGCTCAGCCTTTTAACTGCTGAAGCTTCGTTAGTTTGCCTGTTTTTGTTCATTTGTACTTGAAGTCGATCTCAGCGTATCTGCTGCTCTCCCTGCTCACGGTTTGTCTCTTAAATATCTCTCCGGCTCAGTCTTCACTGCCTCTTCTGGTTTTTGACTACTTTGTTGTGAAAAATAGCACCCCTCTCTACTTTTTTTTTGTATCCGTCCACCTCTCAATTTCTGCTTTGCATGTCTTCTTTAACCCTCTATTTCACTCTCCTGCAGGGTAACTGTGCCAAGGTTACCAAGATAGGGAGGCAGATTGGAGTGAGGAATAACAAACTGAATCATAAATGTGAGATAAACTGCACGAGTCCACGGCTGTAGAGGCATTAAATTGGTTTGTTATAATCACACCTCCTTTAACCTTCCGCTAACAGCCTCTCCAAGACTAAGGAAAGTCAAAGCAGTACTTTCACAATGTCTCAATTTGTTGGACTTTACTTGAAACTGTGTACTGTGGGAGATTAGTGGGATTAATTACATGAAGGCTCATTAGCTTAGAGAACATCCATCAGGCACATGCTGATCACACATGAAGTCAAAGCCCCTTTTTTTCTACACAGTACTCTTTTTCTCCCCCGCTTCTCTCAGTGACTCGTTTTCCAGTTAATCAAAAGCACGATGAATTTTAGTGTAGCAGTTTTCTATGATTGCACAAGTTTTATTGTTTTCTTGGGGTTTAGTGAGTAGGTACGCTATTTTACATGGTCTGGGATGAATAATGGCAAAAGCTGGGAAGTTTCTTGGTGATTTTATAAACAGTTAGGACAATTTTTATCCAAAAATGCATGATAGGGAACTGCACTTTCACTGAACTCTGTTCTCAGCAGAATTCATAATGCAAGACTAGTCTGCTGCTGGGTAACTTGGCAGATGAAGTGGAATATGTTCATTTTAAATGATCATTACATTACTTTGAAGCTGTTCCTGTTTGGACTATTTTTGAAGAGACCAACTGCTCACAGTTGCCTCGAGGGAGAGAAAATAAAATCACCAGTGTCTGGTTTTGAGTTTGAGTCCAAGTGACATGAAAAAGGGAATTTATTATACTAACAGTTTATGTTTGTATTGTGTGCAACTACAGTATGTAGTTATGTGTTATTGCAATTGTCTTGAGGTAGAAATTCAGCCTTAATTAATAGCTAGGCAATATGTAAGTGTGCTGACATGCTCAGAAGAAAGCTCCCATCTATTTTGTTTTTGATCATTCATATTTTTGATGACTGCAGCTCAGTATACCAGACACCTAATTTACTCTCCCTCCTTTTCATCACCATCTTCAAATATGCAACACTCAGTCTGTCCCTTGATACATGTGTTGCAGTTTTATACATATATATTGCACATGTCGTTGCAGTGTGGCTGCTTACAGGCAAATATTAAAAACACAGTAGTGAAGCCATGAGAGATTTAAAAACAAGCATCTCTCAGCCTAATTAACTTCCATCCCCATTAAAGTCATCCTACCCATCCCCTGGCTTATATGTACTCTATCAGTATGTATAAGTAGAATAAAGTGTCATCTGCATATCATCTAAACCCTGCGCAAACCCTGTTCCAGGTTTTCCCATCTTGATTTCTTTTCCTGGTGACACTCTAGACAGCCCCATGTTCTTTGTCCTCTGTTATGACGCTGCCCTGTCTTGACCTGTCAAACACAGACACCTCCTCAGCGTCAGAAGACGAGGGCTCGCTGCGCCGACAGGGACGTCTGACCACCTCCACGCCCTACCAGGGCCACAGCCACCCAGCTGTTGAGCACTGGTTTAACCGTGTCATCCAGGGTTCGTCCACCTCATCCTCCGCGTCATCCACTTCATCCCACCCGGGAGGGAGATCCGTCACCACCACCAACACCACTGCCCACGCAGCCCTGAACGTCAATGCCGCAGCCACCGCTCTGGCAGACCTTATGGCACACACCCAGCTAGGTCAGTGACGCACGCACACAGTTTCAGATACTTTTAGCTGTTGCAGTGTTTAGTTGGTCAGTATGGCATTTCATGAATTCTTTTGACCTCCTTCATTCCTTCATTCTAGATTTAGATGATGTGTTTAAGCCAAGCAAGAAAGCCATTATAAATGATTTTTCTGTTTCGATTGCATTTCAGTTCAGTTCAAACAGGAATTTATAAATGGAGACCTGCCTTCTTAGCTGTCTGCGTTGAAATTCTTTGTTCTTTATGCAGATAGGTTTTATATATGTACATACAAACAATTTAGGGAGTCGAAGACTGAGTTTTATGCTTTTTCTATTATCCTCATTTTGTTAATTTCGGCAGAATATATGGTAGATACAATAACTGCTTCCCAGTCAGATTTGTCATCATATCAAAGGTGACATCTTAACCTGTGTTATGTACCGCAGACTGTTTAATCGCAGATAGACAGCACTGTCCTACACATCGATTGCTTTCTGAGGCCTTATCTCCCTCTAGATACAAAAAAGCACTCGATGATGACAAGACAAAAGGGACCCAACGACTGAGTTTTAATTCCCGTCTTTCTAGTTAGCCATCCTCGTCTGCCATCTCACTGTCATTTGATCATGTGGAGAAGCTCTCAGCCACATATCTGTCAAAACCGCTTGTTCTATGTTGCCACATGAGTGCTTACTTGTGTGCACGTTTGTATGTGTGCGTACATGTGTGTGCTGGTAAGACGATATCCTATTAGGATGGAGCTGCCTGGTTTTATTTTTTTCACTTGCTCGTTTCCCCTCAAGGCTGCTGTCATAAAGCAGCAGCAGCGACTTGTGCTGAATGAAGCTGTAAATAAATCTTCCATATTGCCTTGTTCCTCTGCCCCTCAGACACTGATTCTGTCATCCACTTCAACAGGAGACACTAAAAAATACTATATGTAGTTAAAGGAACACCAGTTCTCAATGTGGAGTTTTTTTTTTTTTTTTTAAATCTCTTTGAAAACCACTTCCATACATTTGCATAAGAAAAAAAATATGCACAAGTGCTCATCCCAAAAGTTGGAACCACTGACATCAGCTGTTATGAGCAGGGTTACTGCGATTGGCAGATGCTCCCCATAAACACTGTTTTCCATAATTTTCAGACCTTGGAAATTACCCAAAATTCTTTCTAGTAATGTGATCTGATAATTGGTTATGACACATGTCAAAAATATGGCTTGGCTCTGCAACAAGGTATCTGTTTTGGATCTAACTCCAATGTTAGACTGTAAACTCCAGTTCTCATGACACACTTAAAACAGAACAGTTGATCCTGTCACAGACGTTAATGGTAAATGGACCGCTTCCTATATACTCTTTCATTCACACAAGCACCTTTTTCTATGTCTGAGTGCTTTCTATCTAACATTAAGAGAGCAACTTTGCTCTCTTAATGTCTGGACATCAGTTGGTCTGTAACATAGTGTAAGACATCTTGGATACAGACTTTTATGTGTGGTGTTGAGGGAAGGTGAAAAGTTGAAATACAGTCTCTGCTTCGGCTCAGAGAATACCAGGCAAATCATATTGTTTGCTAATCCATGACTTAGATCTTTATATAAGTTGCGAGCACCCACAGTTGGCCTTAAATTTGACCTTTTAACCCCCGACACCCCCACTCATCGCAGATAACCACTCAGCGCCCCCTGACGTGACGGGGCTGTCGGAGCGCTCCTCGCATCACGCAGAGCGGCCCCATGTGGCCTCGGTGCGAGGCATTTCCCGCGGCTTCAACCACCACACCAGCGTCATGGAGACCGCAGATGGTGAGTTTCCTGCCCACTCACACTCACACACACACACATACACGCAAAGTCAACTCCCGTTTTCCTTCTCCCCTGCTGTTTGTCCCTCTGTCTTCTCCCTTAGTCAGTCTGCCAACGTGACTGGCAAAAGCTACTGACTGACCTGCTCATGTTGCCACGGTAACGGTGCACCTCTCCCCCCACCCCACCCCTGAAAAATCCGTCATGTTCCTGCCGTAATGTTTGGTTCTGTTAACTAACAGAAACACTGAGACAGTAAAGATTTACACAGCATCATGGTCTCGCTTCTCTGCGGCAAACAAATATTTGAGTCATGACATAAAACAGATCATTAGGTGCTCGGTTTTGCGCTCAGTTTTTGCCATGTTGTTGGTGGATCTGTGCATAAAATAGCCTTCAAACATTATTCGTCATTCAAACCGTGCCTTTGCTTGTATGGCTTCAGTACTGCTACCAGCATGGGTCAGTGGGTGCTACAGATGGGTACATACAAATACAGTAAATACAGTATTAACAGGTCATGTTCCACCTCATTTTAAGGTAGGTTTAAAAAAAAAAACCACAATTGAGCACATTAATTACAGCCTGAGCTAACAGGAAAAGAAGGGAGGTGGGTGAGGGAGTGTGGTTTTTATTCCATATAAAAACAAATTTGGTGTCCTAAAGAAGTTTTGGCTTTCTCTTATAGGAAAATTAGCAGAATTAGAGTAAAATGTAAGCAGGGTTTCATTTACCCAACCATAAAATATGTTTTGGTTTATCAAATTGCTGTAAGGGAGGACACACAGTCATTCCCTATAACTGCTGTGTGCTTACGCTTGTTATCACCCACCGTCTCCTTCAAATTTCTAACCCAACAAGTCCTTTTCCCTTTAGCATGACATCATTTAGCGGTCTATAAGAGGACCCATATATCTAAAAAGTTGTCAGTTCACCTTTAACTTGGCAGAGAGTCTCGCCGTTGGAAGAACCCTGAACACTTTCCTAAACAGCTGAGTTACAGGGAGAGGTTTTTCATAAATCCACTTACATATACACCTTCTAGTGTGATTCCGTTTTAGGTGGCGTCCACAATAGTCTTTGAACCTTACAAAACTTTTTTTTCCATTATCTTAACAGGTTATTGAGTTTAGAGTTGCGTTAGGGCTGGAGACGATCCAAGCTGTTATAGGGTGAAAGGCAGGGTACACCCCATATAGGTCGGTTTGTCACATGACTGGGCCTTTACTTTTAATGTGTGTTTAATATTGTGAAAGTATCCTTAGTTATGTAGGACCAGAACATGGACCACTCTAGAAACAATGCATGTATTTCCCAGTCACCAATTTACATTTAAGGCATAATGGTTATATACCAGTATCTGTTTTCTTCATAATGTCAGCTGCTCTGTACTGCCTACATCATGTATTTTACTACTAAGAAACAGAGTGAGTGACCTGAATGCCTATTTTCCAAACATCTCCATCATATATGACAGTGTTTTTTTTGTTTTTTTTTATATGAGTTGAGATTACTTGAGACCTATGAAAGAAAACCAGCATCTTGCTACAGATGACAATGAGGTTGACGGGTTCATTAAATCTGCTCCACTTTCTTTGTCTGAGTTCATCTTCATTCATTCAGTTTGTTAATAATCAGGCAGCCTGAAAACCGGAGGACACCTTGAGCAGAGAGCCTATAATCTCCCTGCCACCCGTGCTCTGGATTCTTAAATACTAAACAACCTAGCTGACACAAAAGCAGGAAGTAGTGGTTAAATCTATGGATTTAAAACTGCAGGTTTTCCTATGCTGATTACTAAACATGGGGAAAGTGGTAAAACAACAGTGTGATTCCATTATAATCCCACTCTCACATGCATGTGGCAGCTGTAGATTTCTCACATATTCACGCTCACGGCCGATTCAGACTTTTGCACAAATCTTTCTAGAGCCTATGGTGTGTTTTTTTTTAAAATGCCAGCCAAAATGGAAACAAATAAAATGCTGGCACTCTTTTCCCTCCTTGGTCCCCACGCAAACATATTTGCCCTTCAGGTTTTTCCCACTTCTTCTTACATTCCCTCACACCAAGTCCAATAGTTTGTGGAAACTCCTTCCAGCAATCTGCTGACATCTGTGAGTCCTTATAGTGAGGCAATAATTGTTATTCTCTCACTGATCAGACCAATCACATTAGTTGCGGGATGCGTCAACACGATGCAGAGTTACATCATCGGGGAGGTGCACCGTGAGTTACGGTGAAGGTTTTCAGAAGGGTTCTGTGGTGTTATGATTCAGCGCAGACATATAAATCCCCCGTCATCCAGAAAGTTCACAGGAGCGCTTCGTTGACATCCTGATGTGTCTCTCCTCTAGGATGTGAGTGGAGAGGTGAAGGATCCCTCACTTTAATTGATGGTATTTATAACTGCTCCTTCAGCTCTATGGCAGCCTGCTGTATGTGCACTCTGCTATATGTGCGTTTGTATTTGTGTGTCTTTGCATCTCTGCCTCTCACCTCCACTGTCAGGTTTACTGTGACACTTGTCCAAATCTTGTGTGTTATAAAAAAAATATGCACAGCTACAGTGAATTCAGTGATACAGTGTGCATGTGAGTGTGTTTGTGTTTGTATAGCTGAGTATGTTGCAAGTGCTCTACCGTTTATAGCATCTTCAGGCAACGTCTAACCTGAATGTCTTTAGAAAGTGAGTGCGTTTAAGCAGAGGTGTAACTCTTCGTTTGGCCTTGCGACTAATTACTATGTTGACATACTGCTTTCTTATCTCAAACTGAAAACAACTGTCAGTCTGTTTCTCACTTCAGTCTTTGACGGCTAGCCCGCAGCCATGCAGTGACTTCTTTGATGGCAGCTGTCTAGGACTGCTGGAATTTTTTTTGACACATAGATGTGTGTAAAGACAAAACAAGTCACACAGTAGCTTTGGCTCCATCTGTACTTGGATACTGACACTGTGTGTGTTGGTGTTTTATGCACAAATTTTGCCGATACAAATTCAGTATTTTCGCGCTGTTTTCAGCTTACAATCATTTAAAAAATAAATTTCTTACAGAATTTTGTGCAGTACTGTGAAAAGTAAACCATTGCAACTGCCATAGGAATTAAAAGGGTAGGTAGCAGTTAATCTAATAACTCTATAAAAGCACAAGTTTTGGCAGTTTGCTGGTCTGGGGCATTAAGGTTTGTTAACATGGTGACAATGAACAAAGACAAGAAGCAGTGATCTTAAAGAAACAGCTCTTGCTGCCCATCAGTCTAGGAAGTGTTATACAGCATCCCAACACAAACACCTCAGACCATCTGTCAATGATCTGGGCTAATGAACCCGGGGACGTTGCAGTCATTAAGTTAGCCATGAACTCGTCTGTACATCAAGGTCATATATGACCGATAAAGCTCTGCTGAAATTAGGTTATACAACAGGACTGTGATACCAACCACAGCAGAAAACAGAATGGCTGAATCAGAGACAAGAACATACTCAAGGTGTTGCAATGACCCAGTCAAAGTCCTCAAGCTGGCTGAAATGATGTAGCGAGACCTAAGAGAGCTGCACATAAATGAATTGAGGCAAACCTCAATGAAATTAAAGAAATGTTATAAAGAAGAGCCAAAAATACCTTCAAAATGATGTGAGAGACTGATAAAGTCATACAGAAAATTATTACTTCAAGTTATTGCTGCTAAATGTGGTTCTACAAGCTGATGAGTCATGCTCCATACTTAGTTTTCACAGCAATGCACAGAGTCCTATGCAAACTTTCTTTTCCACATCGCTTTATCCTATCAAAAGAGCAAAAGCAACAACAAGTTATTATTATGAACAGGTGTTTATTGTATCCGTAGCCTGATAAGGCTTATTTTTATCCCGCCGACCTCCGTTGTCATCCAGAAACAATGACAAATGCATCAAGTGAACCATGCTGTTGCAGTGGGTAACATGTTCCCTCATTATGAGTCACTGTGGGTTTTTCTGAGCCAGTTTCACATACTGTACACCATCCTGCCTAAATCCATGGCTGGAGATAGTCACTATAAACACACCTTTGCAAATATAAATGTTTGAATAGAAAATCCTAAAAGCTGCAGTGCCCAGCTGACACAGGAAATTTAATGTTTTAAAAAAAACAGGACCGTGTTTTTATGACGCATTTTTATGTTTAAAGTGCTCAGCAAGACTGGGCCCCAGAGACAATTTTTGGCTGGGATTTGTTAACAATAGGAAAAATATGGACTAATACTAGCCCGATCCTATAACTCTGTTATTGTTTACTGTAAAGACGTGGTGTAACATTTTGTCCCACATTAAGGAAGAGCCAGAGATTACTACAGCAATTTATGGCTGTAAATGCATTCATTATAAGATCATGAACACATTAATTATCGTCATCATCAGACGGGTCCTGGTTGGTCCAGATATGAACGATCAAGCCTCATGATGAGGTGGGTGGGGGAGTTCAGAGCCAGGATGTTAGGGGCTGCTGTCTAATTGGTCCATCAGGTGCTGCACTGACCCCCGCATGGTCAATCCCTGGTACATTTGTCCCTGCATGAGGAGGCAGAGTCTGTCTGAGCTAGGCTTATTATAGTAAGATAAATCAGGCAAGCTGTGTGCAGCTGTGGCCTTTAGCTCCCGTGGCTGTCTGGGTTGTCGAACACAGCCAACCCCCTTTTAAAGCTAACTGTATATTTATCGGGTAAAAATAATGTCTGATGATGTTTATAGACTGAACCTCACCTCAAACGTGAGTCTAACGGCACAACACAAGTTTCATTCGGAGTTTGTCTTGTTTTCTCTCCTTTTATGATCTGGCTCAGTTTTTATATAAAAAAACGATTTAAGGGTTAATTTTAAAGTGTAACATGCATGTCAGACCATTTATCTGTGTTCTGATTTAAGTCGAGGGTAGGTGATTTTAGCCTCTCACTGTCTATATTTTATAGCTTGAAACAGGCACCTTTTGAGACACCTCATGAATCATTTTCTGCAGCGAGTATATCTTTGTTGCTAGGCAGCAGGCGAGGCGGCTCCTTGTTTCCTGATTTCCTTTTTTCTTAGCCTTTGAGGTCTCGCAGTGATTCCCGAGACTTCCTACTAAAACACTATGTCTTTAAGGTGACTGTACAGCGCAGGACCTCGTGCTCCACTGCTTTGTTGTCTTGCCACAGTGTGACTGACAGCTGGTTGTCCTCTGTGCCTCATTAGAAAAACACACTGACCTTGTCTCCTTTTCTTTCCTTATCTGTCCCTCCCTTATCCACCCTCGTCCTCCATCAATCTCTCAATCAATCTGTCTGCACATGCCCACGTCCCACCATCACAATTATCTCCACTTTTTCCCGTCTGTATTTCTCTACATGTTTTTTTTCTTGTCATGTTTATGTCTTCCCAACCTTTTTTTGTCTTTTCATCTCCATAAAACTCATTTTATAGGTGTTCCAGTCAACAGTCGCGTCTCCAACAAAATCCAGCAGCTGCTCAATACACTGAAGAGACCAAAGCGTCCACCGTTGCGCGAGTTCTTTGTTGACGACTTTGAGGAGCTTTTGGATGGTAAGCCCACCTGAATGTAATTACAGCGATTCTGCTGAACCAATAAATCTTCGTGAAGAGAAACTCTTTCACACTCCTACTCTTTCGAATGTGATGCTCACATCGCGTTGGTTTTCCAGCTCTAATAATAGTGATCTGTCTAATTCTTGTTGTGGCTGAGATAAGAATGTGACTGTGACCTTGCCAGGTCCCACAAGTAAACAACCAAGGCACGGTTTTCGCTCAGTGGTGGTTATTTTGGCCCTGAAGACCACCAGGTGTTGAAAGGGAATTTTTCAGGGAAGGGCACACGGACTGGACCAGCCCTTCCTAACCATTTCCTCCATTCCAACCAAACCCATCGGTGGGTCTGGGTGGTACTCTGCCACTCTGAATAAACACTGAGTGAATGAAAATGCAGCAGGAATAGCAGTGCATCAGCAGGTAACTGTAAAGCTTCTCCTTGTGGTATGGCAAGCTTCAGTGTAAGCAGAAAAAGGTAGGATCCAAACACTGATAAAGATGTTATATTTGGCAGAGATGTGGCTTACCTGCTTCTTTAAACAGGTCTGAACTCTACTGCTCAGAGAGTCTGAAGGTAAGAATAGAGATGAAGAGATGGAAGTCAAATCCAGAAGTCAATAGAGTACTTAAAGAAGGAGCGAGGCGAGACTGATTTCCAGTAAGCAGCAGCTTCGAGTTTCTCACAAGTAGGAATAATAGGCAGCTTAGACTCATGAGGACAGAACACAGCTCACTCTGTATCCTCCAGCTTTTCCTTTTCCATCACACCTTCCTCATTGTCTTTTTTTTTCTCACACTCTTTTTTTCCTCCCCTGTCCTCCTTACAAGTGTTGTTTAATTTACATATTTACCATTTCTTTGCAGACTAGCCGGTCTTCTTTATCAAGCAGCTCAGGAGCTTATATTACGTTCAATTCGAATCAAAGTCTTAAAGATGTCCAATTCATTTTCTTCATGTTTTCAGTCCAGCAGCCAGATCCCAACCAGCCAAAGCCAGAAGGCCAGCAGATGTGTCCCCTGGAAGGGGAGCCTCTCGGGGTGGTGACCAACTGGCCTCCCTCCTTGCCAGCAGCCCTACAAAGGTGGGGAACCACTCAGCCCAAGAGCCCCTGCCTGACAGCACTCGACAATGCTGGCAAGCCCGTCTACACACTCACCTATGGTAGGTGTTAGCCTGTGGATGTCGGCCCAGAAATGACAATTCAGATGGAAAAGAATAGCACCTCTTTTCATCCACTGTGTCTTTCAAAAACAGACATAATGTATTCTGCTTTTAAAATGTTGTTTTGCAGGTTAGATTAGTTAAATCAAAGACACTCGTTGCCAATGTGTGTTAACCTCTGCAGGTAAACTGTGGACCCGCAGTCAGAAACTGGCGTATACGCTTCTTAATAAGCTGAGCAGCAGAAATGAGCCTCTGCTCATGCCTGGAGACAGAGTAAGTCATGATATATTACAGTGTGTTCGGTGGCGATTGAATGTGTTACATTTTTTGGCATTTCACTATTACAAATATTCAGCATGGAAATAATCACCAAATAAATTCAATGACGTGAGAAAATAAAATAAAACAAAACAAAACAGGGGGCTGAAAGTATTCCTACATAGGAACCTTTTGGGAAATATAGTTACTGCCTTTTCCTGCTAGATGAAAAAGTGACCAGCTCTCTGATTTGCGTTTACTTTTGTTGTTTTAGATCCACTTAAAAGCTTTAATATTCTATTTGAATTTGGAACATTAATATAGCAGAAAACTACTTTTTTTCCTATGAAATAATTAATGGAGTGCTTCCTTACTTCTTAGCAGAGAGGAAAGTCCCATTCCTCACATGTGTGTGTTAACCCAACTCTGTATCTGCATTATTACCTTGAAATCTTTGACTGGGAACATAAAATTGAAATGAGCGAGTCCAGTCTGACACAGTTCGTTCCACTGACCCATAACTGTAAAGTTTAAAAACCGAATTTATGTGTAGACATTTAATTTCATCTCATTTTCAGGGTCTCTAGAGTTGTTTTGCGGCTCTCCTCTGCTCCTCTGCTTTCAGTTTCACCCTGAGCGGAGGAAAGCTGCAAAAACGGCTCGGCTTGGGTCTAGTTGACTTGCTTGGGTTAATCATTGTGGCTGGACTTTTTTTCTGGTCTAAAATAATCTAAAAAGATGGGGGAGGCTGGTTGAGATGCCTGTTTGTTTTGGTGCGAGATGGTGCATGTGTGATTTTTGTCTGATGCAAAAACAGCAGTTTCACGTTTAATGGGGGCTACAGCGAACAGAAAACAGACCCAAGCCAAGATAGAGTAACTGACTGTTGACTAGAACCAAGGATTTATTGAAAATATAAATATTATTGTTGTGAAGCTGGAGTTGTCAACTAACTCTCTGGTAGAAAGCAATGATTTCTTAAACTTTAAAGCCTTGCAGAAAGCAAGCGCTTTATTATTTGTATGACATGTTTAGTGTCACCGTCAGTCCACAATACTGTTGTGTAGCATTAAAACAGAAAAATATGAAAGATAATGTTGGTGTATTGTAACCATGTCTCGAACACACCTGCAGGTTGCACTTGTTTTCCCCAACAATGATCCGGTGATGTTCATGGTGGCCTTCTACGGCTGTCTCCTGGCGGAGCTCGTACCTGTACCTATTGAAGTGCCGCTAACCAGAAAGGTAAAGCAATGAGGGTCTCCTGGGAATGTGTGAATTTTGACGTTTTACTGACCCCTACTGGACATCTGACCTTAAAGTGTTTACATGAGAGACGTACTTAAGTCAGATGCAGTTTTTGATTCAGTGCTAATCTTCACTCTCTTTGACGTTCCTTATGCTAAATCACATCTTTGTAAATCTGATCTCTTAAATCAGGGGTGTCAAACTCAAATACACAGTGGGCCAAAATTCAAAACTGGAACAAAGTCGCAGGCTAACATTAATATTTATTGAAAAACAAAATCTTCCTCCAGATATGAGAATGAATCTTTTCTTATGGACTCAAACAGGTTTTGCTGAAAAACTGAATATGGAACAAGCAAAGCTTAATACTAAACAATATATATATTAGCTGTATAATACCAGTAATTTGGTATGGCTTCGCGGGCCAAATGTAATTAGGCTGCGGGCCAAATTTGGCCCACGGGCCAGAGTTTGACACCTATGTCTTAAATGTTTAAATGCGGAGTATTAGCTTATGGTGTTTTGCGCTTCCCAGAGCATCCATCAGCTCAAACCATGCATATTAGTTGCACAGCCTGAATATTAATGCCTGTTCATGATTGCCCTTTATAAGCATGCTGTTGGCAGAGGCTGTGCTGTAATTAATGAGATTTGAGTGAGGTGAAATGATGTGTTATTCTAGTCAAAATATTAGATCACAGGCCAACTGTTCTCAGGAGTCAGATGCTCATTTGCTCACTCTGTCAGCTCCTATCATTCCTCATCCTCTCGTTGTGTCCCTCTCTTTATTTCTATTACCCTCCTCTTCTTTCTTTCCGCCTCTCCCCACCCATCTTGTGTCTCCCACCTTTTTTTTTTGCTTTTCTGAACAGCGCACTTTGCACAGCACGAGTTTAGCTATAAGCTAATTTGCACAGCCAATCAAATAGGAGCGAGCGTGTGTCAGATCTCGGGTTTCATTCCTGCTACAGTCTGGCTTTGATGCACAGCAGTAGAGTTTTTAATAGTGACTGGCCGTCACTCCGCTTGCTCACCTGCTGCTGCTTTGATGCTGCTGTGATGCTCTGAGGTTTCTTCTTCTTCTTTGTTTTCTTCTTCTTCTTGTCATTGCCCTTGTTTTCACTCCATTAGCAATTCCCACATTCCCTCGGCGCATCCTTTCTCAAAGTTATTTAGAATTTTTCTGTTTTTAGTAGTTGATCGTTGTGACAGATACTCTCTTTGCTCCCCCAGGATGCGGGAAGTCAACAGATCGGCTTTCTGTTGGGCAGCTGCGGCGTCACGTTGGCACTGACCACTGATGCCTGTCAGAAAGGCCTGCCCAAAGCACAAACGGGGGAGGTCGCCACTTTCAAAGGTACAGCCTGTTTTGTTTTCATTGTGACTGTGTTTGCATAGTTTCATTTGGTTTGAGATGACTTCATGTCTCTGTCTCTGCAGGTTGGCCGCGGTTGCTGTGGTTTGTGACAGATGGAAAACATGTTGTGAAGCCTCCAAAAGACTGGCACCCTCCAATACGGGAAGCCAGTAACGACATTGCCTACATAGAAGTAAGTGGGGTTTAATCAAAGGATGTGACGCGATGGTTTTTACTGGAGTTGTTTTTTACTTATTCAACTTATTAGGCAGTTTTTGTTTTTACCAGATCCTTTTTTTCTAATGAAACAGTTTTTTTCCTTTTATGCTTCTTACATCTAGTATAAAACCAGCAAAGAAGGAAGCACCATGGGAATCACAGTGTCCCATTCAGCCATGCTGGCTCACTGTCATGCCCTCACGCAGGCCTGTGGCTACACTGAAGGTGAGGAGGAATCTTAATTTACTTTTTTGGTCATACTTTGTTTCTGCAATTTTTCCCTCCATCATTTATCACTTCTTCCGACATGGAGAAAGTTCAGTTGGTGCTGGCAGGAGAAATGCTCTGAGACACTTTTAGGTGTAGATACAGTCTCATTTGATAAATGCAGCTGCTCAGTTGGTTGCGTTCCTTCCATCATACCTGGGTCAGGTCTGCTTAAAAAGAAAGAGAACATAAAGTAGCTCCTTTCTTCTAGTGTCCTACTTTTGTTCTGAGTAACTGCAAACAGCACCAGCAACCCCCAGAGACTCTCCAGATCTGTTTCTGTAACTTAATTTGGCTTACTCAAACCACTGCTGCTACAGTCAGAATTTACTCTTCTTTACAGAAACTTGTGTAACTGTGTTGTGCTCCTAACCTTGAAAAATTCTCTTTTTTTTATTTGTAGGTGAGACGATAACCAACGTCCTGGACTTCAAGAGAGAAGCAGGATTATGGCACGGTGTTCTCACTGTAAGTAGTCTCCAGACCTCTAGTAGAGCTAATGGGGAGGTTATGTAATGAGAAATGGAGGAGATCTGAGCTCAGTTTGCAGATAAAAACTGAAACTTATCTAACCGGCTTCCCACTGAGGCCTTTATCAGTATGTAAATGCATTCAAACTAATGAAGTCCTGATGGGGGGAAAAGGCATCGTATCTAACCACTGAGGAGTTTCAAACCTGTGAAAAATAAAGCTGCTTCACTGACACAGACATCCCAGCTTTGATTGACTGCTTTCAAACATGCCTGAGAATTCCCGGTGCCTTAGGTCATACGTGATTTGTTGTTACGTGTATAAACAGGCTTATTTTTGTACTCTTGGCAGATAAAATCATAACCTGCAGCGTGTTTACAGTGACCTCATTTAGTTGTGATGCATTTCTGGCATATATTGGAGCTCATCTCAATGCTTACTGCTCTCCTGGCAGAGCGTCATGAATCGGATGCATGTGATCAGCATTCCCTACTCCCTGATGAAAGTCAACCCTCTGTCTTGGATAATGAAGGTTCACACATATAAAGGTAAGGGTCGGTCCATCTATTTAGGGTTAGTAAGGAATTTAGATCTTTTTTTGTTGCAGTTTAATTCGGAAAACGAGGACAGAGCACACTTTTCACAAGAAGCTACCTTAGTGAAGATACACTTCAGGTTTTTTATTGTTTTATTGTTAAGAAGACCAGATTTTATTCCTGCTTGTTACTGTTTTGATTCTCAGTCCACGTTTGACACGAGTGGATGGATTAAAGAGATAATTTGTTGGACCTATTGATTTCTGGGGTTGTGTGCCCTGAATAAAACCGATCCACAGCTCTGCTCAATCATCTGTTGGCGACTGACTCAGCTTGCGTTGCTCCTTGTTGTCTGGTTTTATGATCTTGTCAAACTGGACCACAGAGGTCATGATTGTGTCGGTCATTGTTTTTGTCTTTGTGTCCCCCGTGCAGCTCGGGTAGCAGTGGTGAAGTCGAGGGACATGCACTGGTCTCTGCTGGCCCAGAGAGACCAGAGAGACATCAGCCTGAGCTCACTGCGAATGCTTATCGTTGCTGACGGAGCTAACCCATGTGAGTCCATCTGCAGAGGCTCATTTAATAAAACAACACCCTGGAGTC